TCTGCCTCTCTTGTGGGTACAGTAATGAAGCCTCCTACCTCGCTGAGGTCTTCGGGCCCCTCTGGATGGTCAAAGTCTACAGCTTCGAGTTTAAAGTGAGTAGAGTGGGATGCTGCCCCCCCCAGCTGTGCCCTGTGTCCTCCCACCGCCCCAAGCCCCTGTCACAGCCCCGGGCCAGGTTTGTCCAGCCGAGCACGGGGGTTCCCATGGTGCATCCCTGCCTGCAACAGCACCTCACCAGCAGCCCCAGTGCCATGCAGCGCCGATCCATTGGCAGGGCTCAGCAGCAGTTGCCACCACACTGCTCTCTCTGCAGAAACCCTCCTGTTGCTTCTGCTGCCCTGAGAAGATGGAGGAGGAGCTGAGAGGTGAGTTGCAGGGGGGTGTTGGTGGGAGGGCAGAGCCTGTGACAAAGGGCTGCAGGAGACACTGTGCCCTGGTGCTCTCCCAGGCACCGAGCAGACGTGCGAGCAAGTGGAGGAGCCTGCCAGGGGACAGTGCATCATCCAGGATGAGAGGGACAAGGTGGTCTACAGCTACTCAGCTTTCCACTTTGTCTTCTTCCTTGCCTCGCTCTATGTCATGATGACCCTCACCAACTGGTTCAGGTACATCCCCCTGCTCCTGCACAGCTCTCCTTGCTCTCGCTCCCCTTCCCTCTTGCTCACGCAGCCCTGCCAGCACTGTCACCCCCAGCGTTGTCACCCTGCAGTGTCATCACCCTGCCAGCTCTGACCTGCACCCACATGGGCTCAGGCTGCAATGGTTCACTTCTCAACATCCCCCGGCTCCGGGCCCGGCTGTCACCAAGTTGGTGCCCACTGGGAAGCGCCTGGCTCTGCACCTGCAGAGCAGCACCGCTTCAACCAACAGCAGCCATGCGCTGCAGGGAGCCAGGCTGGGGCCGGGGGGGGCTCCAGGCAGGTGGGACGTGACCACGGCCATGTGGCTGCGGGGACATGGGGCAACCCAGTGGCTGCAGAGGCACTGGGAGCCCTGTGTCGGTGTCCGCTGGGCGCCCAATGCCTGCACTGTCCCAGCAGCTACGAGAACGCAGTGCTGGAGACCACCTTCACGCACGGCAGCTGGTCAACCTTCTGGGTGAAGGTGTCCTCGTGCTGGGCCTGCGTCCTGCTCTACCTGTGGCTGCTGCTGAGCCCCCTCTGCCTCCGCAGTCCTCCCC